CTGTTTCTTCTGCTTCTGTTGTTTCTGCTGCTGCTCTTGTTGCTGCTGCTGTGCCCGCTGCTGCTGCTGCAGCAAAGAGCAGCAAATGCTGAATCAAAATAAAGAAGCAGCAGCAAAATTAATATCTATATATAAACTCACAACTGCAGCAGCAGCAGCAGCAGCAGCAGCAGCAGCCGCTGGGGGGCCCCACCACCGACAGCCCCTAAGGATTACAACCCCCAGCGCTGCAGCAGCAGACAGCAGCAGCAGCAGCAGCTGCTGCTGCTGCTGCTGCTGTTAGTATTGTAAGAACAATTTAGATTGTTGTTTTCTTCTCCCTGAATGTCTAACAATTCTCTGCTGCTGTTGCTGCTGCTCGTGCTGCTGCTGCTGCTGCTGCGGCTGCTGCTGCTGCTGCTGTCGCTACTGTTGCTGCTGCTGCTGCTGCAGCAGCAGCTGTTGTCGTTGTCTTCGTTTGCTGCTGTTTTTCATTCGTTTCTTTGAAGGGGCTGGTAAGGCCTGCATGCGGTGTACGTACACCTCAGCACGCTCTGCGGCGCTAGCTGTGGCTAGCTGAGCTAGGAGTAGCTAGCTGGGCTGGTAGCAGCTAGCTAGTCTAGGAGTAGCTAGCTGAGCTAGGATTAGCTAGCTGAGCTAGGAGTAGCTAGCTGGGCTGGTAGTAGCTAGCTGAGCTCGGAGTAGCTAGCTGGGCTGGTAGTAGCTAGCTGAGCTAGCAGTAGCTAGCTGGGTAGGTATAGCTAGCTAGTCTAGGAATAGCTAGCTGAGCTAGTAGTAGCTAGCTAAGCTAGGAGTAGCTAGCTGGGTAGGGGTAGCTAGCTAGCTGGGTAGGTATAGCTAGCTAGCTAGGAGTAGCTAGCTGGGTAGGGGTAGCTAGCTGGGTAGGAGTAGCTAGCTGGGTAGGAGTAGCTAGCTGGGTAGGAGTAGCTAGCTGCTAGGGGGCTCGTAGTAGCTAGTAGCTCAGCTAAGGATAGCTAGCTACGGTAGTCGTGGCTAGCTGAGCTAGCCACAGCAGACCTCACCAGCTAGCTGTGCGTATATATATATATATATATATATA